TCTCTCTCTCTCTCTCTCTCTCTCTCTCTCTCTCTCACCCACACCCACACTCACACCCACAACCACAAAAGAGAAGGGAAGGGAAGGGGGGGGGTGGGGCGGTAGGGGATGGCAGGACAGAGTGTAGAGGTTATTCTTTCTTTCTTTCTTTTTTTACATGTGCGGATTTTCTTTAGAAATTGGGTTTCAATTGTTCATTGAATTGTTTATGGAGAAACAAAAATACAAAGTTTATATCATGGTTTAATATTTTACAAACTTGTTGAATAAATATTGTAAGGTCTGATACTGTAAGTTATGCCTGCATTTTGGCCAAAACTGTCTGAATTCCAATACATAGATTTCTAAAAATACCAAAAAATATATATATCTGACACTTTTTTTTGTTAGCTGCATTTACTGCCCTTTTTCTGTACATCTGGTAAAGAAAAGGATGAAATCAAAATCAAAACTCTGAACCTCCTCAAATTCCTTGAACCATCTTCTAATTTGCTCTGTTGGGTTTCCTCTGTTCCAGGCCAGGAAAGCCCTTTGTGCACTGAAAGGGCTGGTGAAGATCCAGGCTCTGGTGCGAGGTCACTTGGTCAGGAAACAAGCAACTGCCACTCTCAGGTGTATGCAGGCTTTATTGACTGTACAGGCGAGAGCCCGTGCTCAAAGAATTCAATCATCATGTGAGGAAATCCATCCTGTCATTCAAAAGCAGACATCAATTCATAGACGATCATTTCAGGATAATCAATTCAGGCAATCAACAGTAAGTTTGTTGTGCAACTTTGTTTTTCAACTTGGTTTTGTAAGATACAATCCCTAATCATTTTGTTAAGTACCAACTTATAACTGTTGATATGAAGTAACGTGAACTTATTTCTGCAAGCTTTTACCACTAGAGAAAAACTCAAAAAGATTTCACCACTAAAGAAAGGGGAACTTCGACAAGGAATTCAATAGTCTGAACTGAAACCCAAATGATAAGCTTGCAACTTTTTTTTTGGGACAATATAATTTCAAAAACCTTGCAAGGCATTCGAGCCAATTTGCAAGAAATCATCAAAAAGCTTACCTCATCTGAAACTGTAACACTTGCAGGACATGGAGAAAACCATGGACGAGAACGTGAAGATAGTTGAAATGGACCTGGGTGAGTCAAGGGGCAGCTCAAAGAGTAGAATCAGCTATTCCAACCCACCAGTTGAAAGAACCGAACATAGATTTTCAATGCACTACGCAACACACAAAGAACATTCTTTACCCCCACATCCAAAGCTTGACCTTTCCCCTGCTCCTTCCCCTGCATTCCCAGACCTTAGTCCAAGAACGTCTAGTGGCCATTTTGAGGACTACTCATTCACCACAGCACAAAGTAGCCCACATTACTGTTCAGCTATTTCTAGGGCAGATAGTACAGGCCCCTTCACTCCTTCGAGACCTGAGTATGCAGAGTCCTTATCCCATGAATACTCTTTTTTCCCGAACTATATGGCCAACACTGAATCTTCAAAGGCTAAGGCTCGATCACAAAGTGCACCAAAACAGAGGCCTGATTCATATGAGAAGCCAGCTTCAAATAATAGTAAGAGGAGGAGTTCAACAGAGGGAAGGGGAATCCCACGTGGGGTCCGCATGCAAAGGTCATCTTCTCATGTGGGGGCCACCTGTAAAGGGTACCAGTACACAGGTCCGATCAAGCTGGATAGGTCTACAATGTCTCTCAAGGACAGTGAGTGTGGATCAACTTGCTCTGTGCTCACCACTAATACGAACTATTGCAGATCTCTCGTAGCAATTGAGGTTAGCATACTGAAAAATCTTTAAAAGAATGGACCAAAAGGTTGTAAAGTGTACTTGTGTAAACTATTGACATCATCTTCTTGATTGCAGGCATATGGCAACAGATACTGAGTTTCCCTGACCCACTCAGTAGGGATTAGAAGTGTGATTGACTTTATGAAGAAGAACAATGCTGACTCTCCAATGTCTCCATGGATGAGTTAAGATTGAGCAAGAATAGAGTCCCAAATCTGAGACTCTCAGTAGCAGAAGCCACTGTAACTTGTTTTCGGTTTTTTGGGTGTGTCTAATTCTTTCGGTTGAGTGGAACATTTCTTTTCATTCTTGGCAAGAGAAAATGACTTTGTAAAAGAATGGACGCAAATAATATATAATTAGAAGTTGTCTTAGTTATCAAGAAACAAAACTATAACCATGTTAGAGAGAGTAAAGACTGCACCAATGTCCGATATCATATGGTGGGATAATCATCCTAGAAAAGGATGCACAGACCAGTGTCAAAGGAGTGAAGGATCCCAAATTTGAAATTCCAGATGGCAACAAAAAAAATCTATTTCCCAGACTGCCAGCCATTGCTACCATAGTACTGTTTGGTTGTTTCTTTTGAAAATTCAGCAAATGTCATACCATCTTTCAAGCGAGTTAATAGAGGTGGAACCTTTCTTTGTATGTCACAAGTGCAACTTCTTCTCCCTATTGATTTATCCCAACTCGCCCCATCCCTCTCAGGAAGTTCTGAGAAAGTCTTGTGCCAAGAAGGTTGAAGAAAGACCACAAAATTTTCTCTGCTTATGTCCACTCTTTCACGTACTCTGGAAACTGCATGGATTGTTGAAGTAAGCTTTCCTCTAGATAAAATTTCAGCTGATTCTCCAACCTGAATAATGAAACTGTTAGGAGGTGCTCTGACCATAAGCGTCCTATGCATAACAGTGTCATGTATCTGCAAATATGTGTGTCCGTTAGGAGCAGAGCACTCTGATTGAGAATCAAGTTTCTCATAACTGTCATCATTGTTTTCCGGGTTCTGGCATTGGGAAAGAAACATTGGGGTAGTCAAAACTGTGAATAGCCCATAGTCATAGTGCCATTGTTGCCATAAATTAGATGGCAAAATTTGGCTTGATATAACGCTGTATTGAAGTGAACTCACATTCGAATCTTCAACAAGAATCTGTCCACTTCTGTTTCTCTGTTTTTTATCTCCTCTTGATCTTGCAGCCTCCTTTAGAACAAAGTTATCTAAAATTGAATGGTAATGGATAAGACGTCCTTTTGCAGTGCCTGAGTGAAGGATGCTTTCCTCTAGTTCACCACCACCAATGCCTTTATCACATATTCGTGCAAATAAAAGTCCTATTACTACCATGCAGAAACCCAGCTCTTTAAAAGCATTTCCCAGATCCTTAAATTCATTCCCTGTTTCATGGGGCTGCTGTTCTAAACTGTAAATATCTGGATCTTCTGAATCTCCTGGTTTTGACCCTATGTGCATCAGTTTAGGGACAAAATCCTGTTGATATCTTAATGGAAATACAAACGATGAGACACTTCTGTCCAGGTCCTTCAGTGAAAAATCACTACCCAAGCCATGCTCCTGGAAAAAGAATTAACTTTTAAAGATGGCAAGATAGGCAAAGTATAAAAGGCATTCATCATAAATGCAGGTTGATCTTTCAAATTCTCTTAAGCATTTACATGTTTCCGATATAGCTAACACCATATGCAAAAACTAAACTGAATTCTCGAAGTAACAAAAAGAGAAATAGTATCTACTCATCAAAGACCTTTAAGTAAAAAATAAAATAAAAAGCAAAGTTTTATAACTAGCATAACCAGATCACTACACCTGTTCCCATCGTAAGTAAGACTCCCCTAAGGAAGAGGTCAACCCTCCTCATGAACAAAAAAAAGACTTGGATTCGATTTTCATTTGGGTTCAGCAAATTTCAAATATGTTTCTCTTGCAGAAAAAGTACACCCAGTACCCCTTTGTCATGCAGCCAACCCAGTGATCCTTTGAAAAATAGTAATGTGCCATAGCAGGACAAATGCTAAATACAGAACAGACAAAATAAAAGGGCCTTATAAAAGATATGAGCTGTTTCCATCTAAAGCGTGGCACATACATTTGGTTTTTTCAGTGACATGGAAAAGATAGTATAGTGAAGGGCCCAATCAGATAAAGTGTGCTTTATGCCACATACACCAGATGATAGTAATAGAATGCAAAAACCATTGAATTCAGGATGAATTCATGCTTTTGCTTTTTTTTTCATAATTGATATTTTTAATTGATTGCGTTTGTGTAATCTTTACAAAACGGCGTATTGGCCCGTGAAATGGGGTAATTTCAAAAATTAATTCTTCTTTGTTTCTGAGACATGCCAAGGAAAAATAAGGACCTCTCAAACAAGCAGAGGAATGCTATGCCTTTTCCCTTGAGAGCCTATCCAATCTCAAATATTTCAATGGAGCACAATATTTTCAATGAACCCAATTACGTGAAGCTGGAGAAAGCAGACTAGCACATTTATTAAACACTGCAATGGCGGTGCAAATAACAAGAGCCCTGTTCATTTTCTCTCACATCCTAGATGACAATTCCTGTTTAGCCATATAGTTTGATTGTCCACTTCATCTCAACCAGAGTGCCATAAGATTTTGGTTTCGTTTCCCATCCAAATAAGTTTTAATACTCCAACTGTAAATTAAAAAAAGGCCTTGAATCAACAATGCATAAATATAGAAAAAAGATAGAACTCAACATATGTACAATACATTGCCAAATGCAAAATTACAATAAATTACAGAAGATCGTATCACTCACGACATTGTATTTATGAGATGTTATGCCCGTTGAAATCCAACGTCCACAGAAAACAACGCGGATGGAAGGCATTAACAGTTTAATTCTAAGAAGATGATGAAGGAATTGCAGGTACCTTGAGAATGCAATGACGATCCTTGTTGTTGAGGAGCGCAAGCTTCCGGGCAAGAGGAAGAAGTCTCCGCCGCATAGCTCCAGCATTCGGAACTCCAGTTATAGCTATCAAACCAGGGCCTTCAGGACCTAGGGTTTCCATCACAGTTTTAAAAACGGCGTCAAGTCTCTCTGATTCTTCTCTTGCAGGATACGAAAGTTTAGGGCTGGAAGACGGTGAATGGGAGGGAGAAAATGAGGATTGGGACAAGAGAATGAGGTCATCGTACTGGAGTTGAACCAGTTCAAGTACATCTTTTTCCTCTCCTTCCATTTCTGGCATGATTGCGTTCGAGCGAGAGAGGCTTAGGCCTAAGAATCAGAGAGCAGGAGATTTTACCGGGGCGTTTTGGCTTTGCACAAGCGGTGGAATCCAGAGCATCCGAAGGTACAAGGAACTTTTGTATAAGCGGTAATAGACCAGGACATGTCCTAAGATTCATAGGTACATATGCGGCCTTCATGACCTATTTTTTAGATATATCTTAGCCCTAATTTTTTAGGTGGGTATAATCTCTAACATGGAGAACAGGAAGGTGTAAAGAGAAATTAATTTTAAGAAGAGAAATGATTTTATAGGACCCTCTTCCACTCATATGTGTAGGATCTCAAAGGATAACTATTAAATTTAGTCTGAATCTATAAAAAAATCAAATCTCATACTCATGTGATAAATTTTTTAAAGATTTGTGTCAACTTTAATTATGATCATTTAGAGTCCTACACAGGGGTAAGGAAGAGTCATATAGGATCATTACTCTTTTAAAAATTACAACAGATAAATTTTTTTACAAAACACTTCAAGAGAATTTATCCTATAGGACTTTCTTCTATATATGTATGTAAGACCCCAAAGGATCACCATTAAAGTTAGAACGGATCTATAGAAAAGTCAAGTCCCACATCTATGTAATAACTTTTTTAGAGATCGATACTAACTTTAATGATGATCTTTTGGAATCCTACACACATAAATAGAAGAGGGTCCTATAGGATCCTTACTCATAAATCAAACAAGTGAGTTTTTTTTTAGAGACCACAACCATGTCTATCTTAAAAATAGATGTGGGATGCAAATGGAGTCATGTGTTCCTCTAATACATAAACCACTTTACCAATTGACAATGGGAAAATTGTTTCATGAGTCAGCGGGCAAACACAAACTTACTTTACCAATTGACAATGGGAAAATTGTTTCATGAGTCAGCGGGCAAACACAAACTCACTTTACCAATTGACAATGGGAAAATTGTTTCATGAGTCAGCCGGTAAACACAAACTAAGATGGACGTTATCTAAAGTTTATTGTCTATAAATAACATAAAAAATACTAAAATATTATAATTTAAAAGTTAATTTTTCTTTTCATATTAATGATCATCTTGGTCCATATGATGAATGTACAAAAAAAAAAAAACATTTAAAATGAATTTTTGTAGGGGCTGCATATGTGCATATGAGTTTGTCAAGCCATAGAAACCCATCCTTTTTCATTTTTTTTTGTTTTTTTTTTTTCCGAGAGGGGGAGGGGTAATTTAATGGGGAAGTTATACCTCTACTTGTTTTTTTTCAAGTAGATTTGTTATTAGGGTATTGTTAGTGGTAAGAATATAAACCACAACATGATAATTAGGATGTAGGGTGCTACCACCAAGACATTACCCCCATCCTTGACAATGCCATCGTGTTGTACGGAAGTATTAAAATACCCCTATGGCAGCTCCTAGAGTGACCTTGAAGGTCCTATAGATAGGAAAAATACTTCCTTGATTAGGTAGTTCACAAGTTATTCATTAAAAATGGGTGTGGTTTGTATAAGGGGACAACCTTAACGTTTAATTAACGCACACCTCCATAGTTCATTGAAAGATGCCATTTTGGTGTCAAAAATTTCAATGATGACTTGAAAAACTACTTTACGTCTAATTATGAAATTTAAAACTCAAAAAATAGTTGAGTAAATCTACAATCAAATGAAAATATGGAGAATTGGTGGTCTAACAGTCCAGATAATGTATTACAAAATGTACTTTTTTTTGTTTTTTAAAATATTTTTTCTCACATCCATACATCTCGAGGCCAAGATGATCAATTAGATGTTTTTTACCATCAAAACAACATTTTTTGGTGGATTTTTTAGTGGTGCCTTTTTTACACCGTTTAAGTTTGCAGGCTAGTATAAGCATTTTCCTTAAAAAATTACTAAGAGCATAATGCTCACTTCTTCCTTGTTTTTTTTTGTTTTACTAAACCTTGTCCAATGTTGTTAAGTTCGAATGATTGTATTTGTCACTTTCTCATACCCCTAAGCGGAGTTATTATCAAAATGTCCCTATTTCGGGTTTTTAATATTGAATTTTTTTTTTTTTTTCTTGGAGGTCCTTGAATGAAATAAAATTTAAAAAATGGTTATTTAGGACTTAATATTCACAAAACTTAGTTATATATTAAAACCTGGGTATAGAGATTCTAGTTTTATGTAAAACTTGGTTTTAGTTAAAAAGTTGTTTGGGTAGCTTCTAGAAGAATCCAATATATAACGAATTCCTAGTTTGACTCATGCAAGTAGAAAATTATATTATTTTTTGGTGGAGGTTTCTATATTTTCCCTACAACATAGAAGATCTATCATTCTCTTACCATCCAGTCGTCTAATTTTTGATCAAGAGAGCTACT